GCAATACATTGGTATCAAATCAGTGACTACTGCGGCTCCGAGTGCTCTCACATCTTCATCACAATTCGAAACCCACTGTGCAGACGGGTGTGAACGACCTCTTCTGGACCTGCTCCATACCTCGGAACTGTCACGGCCCGGCTGCAACATTCTCACCCACCTAGGCGCTCCCAACATATACTTTCAAGCCCTTGTGAAGCAACCACCACTTTGTTTACGACCGCATGCCTCACATACACCTCGATACACCGACTGGGCCCATCGAGCTACACTTCTCGATCGCAACACCCACTAATCCCTCCAGCACTACCATTGTACCGCACCTGCCATGTATCCTGTTTCTGCACTCCGGATACTCTGGTCATGAAGCATTTGAATGTATGAACCCTTTCCACCCTCAGCACTCGATCGCACTGACCTCTGTCTCTGTAGCCCAGTTCTGCGATCCCCGACTCAGAGGGCGCTTCAATCTAATCGGTGTCGATATGCGAGGCTACGGCCTCACCAAGGGTAAAATCTCCCAGGAGGCATACAGCCCTGTTGACTCGGCGGACGACGTCTTCCGCTTCCTTGTGAGTGTATGTCTCAGAACGCTTCTATATGCTTTCATTTGGCACTGGCCGGAGGGAACTCATGTGTGTTCTTTTGCTTCCAGAAGGCACTCAATCTGCCTCCTGTGCACGTATTTGGGCTCGCTATCGGATGCTGTGTGGCCCTTGAGCTAGCGACGACCCACCCGGAGCTTGTGCGCTCTCTTACCCTTTGTTCACCGCTTCCCGCAACAGAGGTATGTGCGATGGGGTCTTTTTGCCTACCGGCATCTATCGTCTACTGTGATGCTGATGATAAGCGCATGGAAGCCCGAGGATATCGCTACTGGTCGCCTTGAGGTATTCGATCTTTGGGCCATAGCATTCAATCATGACGGCCGACAGCCGCCAGGTGGTGATCGCGCGACTCTAGAAGACGTCACCCTTGGCATCCAACAACTTTGCTTCAACAACCAAAGGACCACTCTAACCGACGCGTATGCTTCTTTCCTTCTTAGAACGATTGATGGACTGACCTGTCCACGCGTCACAGGCTGTCGAAGAACTCTCTTGTTACAGCAACACAAAACCGTGGCGGCTCGCCGCAAGGGTTGAAGGAATCGTATCATGCTACTGTTGGCTGGTTCCTTCATCGTAAACCACAGTCTCGTGAGGCGCTCGCCAAGGTTTGTTTTTGTCCCCACTGATTTACCTGCACCCACAAACCTGTGACTCACGAACAACTCTTCCCAGATCCGGTGCTCTGTTCGACTCATCCACTGCAACGAGGATGTAGCGTATTCGGTGCAGTATGCCGAAGAACTCGAGGGTCGTTTGCGGCAAGCAGGCATCACTGATGTCGAGCTTTTTGAAGTACCTGGGCCCCATTATGGCAGTGTTGTGAATCCACAAGCGTAAGTCCTCCATCTCTTTATTGCTGTAATCATAGGGCACTGATTTGATGCGTCTACTTAGAATCAACCCAATCCTTCTTCAACATGTACTCTCGACATCCAATGGCGTCGGCAGTTCATTACCGAATGCACACGCACACGGAGAATGCAAAAAAATGACGACACCTTTCACAACACGGCTCGCTGTCTACGGGTACAACCCAGACGAGGACGAGGACGACTGGGATGACTGTGAATCAGTATCATATTATCCCTTGGAATGAAACGACCGTATGCACTATACTTTCTTGTGTAACTTATATCTTCACCCCATCGATGTATTTATGTATCTGTTGTCATTCATGCCTTGTACCTCAAATACCCAGAACTTCTAGTCTACATATGTCGCATGTATTTTTAGGAACAGTGTAATTGGAAACTTCAGGACTTCTTTGTGGATCTCCGATGTCCAGCCCTGTCCAGCCCTGTCCAGTAGTTGTCTCTCGGGAAATCGCAGTATCCAATAGGAAACGATGGTTGCCAAAGATGGTCGCCAATGTTTAGCGCCCATCGGGGGTAAAATGCTTCCGCTCATTTAAACGAGCCCCGAGGTGCATATATGACTCCCGTGTGATCAGTTAAGGCAGATGCCCTTCATCATCTACAATGCGCGCTTTTTCCTTTTCGACAAGCTACAAACCCTTATGTTAGCAATAATTGTGAGAGGAGGATGTACTGTACTGCACCTGTGCAAACTTCTTTGGGTTCCAGTGAACAGTCACGTAGTGCAAATCCTCTCGGGGCATCCACCACTCAAGGAACAGGAAGAAGAGACAGTCGACGATCAATATGATGGTGTAAATAGGGCCTGCGAACGGCCCAAGCTGCATTGTCCTAGATTGAGGCGTTTCAAGGTAATCAAATTAAACTCGGATAAGGGGCCCTACCGTCGCATGCGCTCCCAAATTTCCATCTGCGGTGACTTCATAACCGCATCATAAACCTTCTCGGTCCGTGCCGTGACATCTTCCCAATTGTAAAATGTCTTAACGCGCTCATGCGCCCTTTGCGGATCGTGCTTTCCCGCAGATATGATGTTGATAGCCTCAGAAATGGCACGAAAGACATCTAGAACCACGATATCCGGTTAGTCGATTGTATGATTTCTGCTATGATGTAGGACGCAGACCATCCTCTTCGGGTTCCGCGAAACTAATCATATCCTCTGGGAGGATCTCGGGGACGCCCCCAACGCGGGTAGATACAACGTATAGGCCTGCACATGCTGCTTCAAGAATAGCGATGCCAAATGACTCCGTCAAAGATGTATTCATAAAGATCGCTCCTTGATGCAATACCTATTTCCTTTATCTGAGACTGCTGTGTATGGTTCAGACGTGCAAGGGAGCTTACGGATTGTACATCGCTATGTCTGACTGGGCCGAGGAGCTCGATACGGTCTTGAAGGAGATGTTTCTCCCGCATCTGTAAGAGGTCGATGAGCTTGGGGCCATCGCCGCCTTACCCATAAGGTTATTTGATTGCGCACGTTTGATTAGAGGTGGGATGCTCACCGACTACGAAACGGACATTGGGAAATGCGGCGCAGATTCTGGGCGCAGTTGCAACAAGGAGATCGATACCCTTACGGTAAGCCAAACGAGATAGCACGACGATTGTAACTGTTCGCTAGCTCAGAAGAGTATAATAACTGGAGTTGGGTATAAACTCACTGATGTCAGTAGGCCCAGGTGGACCAGGCTTGAACTCGTCTGCAACGAGTGCGTTCGGTATGACGTAGACGTTTTCACGTACGACAAGTTTGTTGGAATCTCGAGAATCTTTCTCAAAGAGTTCCCCACGTAATACGGTATTTTCACGCCTGAGAACAAATGCTTTTAAAGAGCGACGTGTTGTGTGGACTGCATGTACTTACCCGGTATGAGAAACACATATCACTGCATCTACATTCTTAAGCGTGCCCACAAGAAGTTTGTTTGTCAGGATGCTTGCAGCATCCTCAAATCCAAAAAGACTGTGGTCTGTAAAGACGGTACGAATACCCATCAAGTGGGAGTGTAAGATTCCTTCGTGACCGATAGAAGACAAGCTGGCGTGTGCGTGGATTAAATGTATGTGTTCTCGCAGAAGGATGGTCCTGAGGTATGGCAGCGAGGTAAAGAAATTCGGAAGGGTTGCCGAGGATGCGATAGGCAGAAATGGTATATAGTAGACTTTGAGAGACGGTAATAGCCAGCGAACGCCAACACGGTCAGGAGCATGGCTATGCGTTATAACAATGACCTTAAAAAGTTGCCAATCACCCTTAACTAAGAATTATTACATGTTACGCACTTTGTGTCCTTTCTGTATAAGGGTTGCGCTCAGCATGTAAATGTGGTTCTCTACACCGCCAACATTGGGATGAAAGAAGTCAGAAATCATTCTGCAGAACGTTGTTACTGAGTCCTTCCACGACA